CATCCTGCAAGCAAAGGAGGTTGCACTGTTATTTAAAGGATTTATGGGCGAAACGGGAAAAAAAAAGAAACAAAAAACTCAGCGCACCAGGTGGATGGACGCCTGCTACAGTGCCCAGCCTCACACGGTTGATCCAGGCCCCACACAGGAACTGAAGAAGGCAGGATCCTCCTTGCTGGCCCTGGCTCCACCCCATCCCCCAGTGGCATGTGGGCATGGCTCAGACAAGGCCCTGGGTTATGGTTCCTCATCTGCCAAAAGCACTAATGGTTTGACAGTGTGGGCCTTTGGTCGAGTTTCTCAGAACCCTTTTTATCTGCCTAGGCCATTTGGCGGTCCAAGCTTTCTTTGTTGTTGTTCTTCTTCTTCCTTTTTTTTGAGGAGTGGGAGCTCTCGCTCTGTTCGCCCAGGCTAGAGTGCATGTGGCGCTATCTCAGCCTCATGCCAAGCTTCGCCTCCCCGGTTCACGCCACATGTCTCCTGCCTCAGCCTCCCAAGTAGCTGGACTTACAGGTTGCCGCGCACCCACGCCCCGCTATTTTTTGTATTTTCAGTAGAGACGGGGTTTTGACCGATGTTAGCCAGGGATGGTCTCAATCTCTGACCTCGTGATCTGCCCTCCTGGGCCCATTCCCCAAAGTAGCTGGGATTGTACCAGCCGTGAGCACTGCGCCCTGGCGGCGCTGTGCCTCAAGCTTTCTTAATTATATTGATCAGTGTCTAAATAGACTTATGATGAGGTATCTAAAAGGACGGTTTAAAATTCAGTTCTTCCTTATTTCCTTCTCAAAATCATCCTTCAACGTTACAGAATCAGTAGGTCCAAAATTAGATAGCCCGAGAAGCTCAATTAAAAAAAATTAGAGCGATATTTGAACTTTAGTAATATATGGTATTCTTCATATTGAAATATTTGAAACTCATAGATAATGTTAACTGTATATAGTTTCCAGCCTGTGTTAAATATGAAATTATATTCTTTAACAGTTTACAGGAAATGCCTTTAGGTTAAGTAATTGGGTAATTTAATAATATTCCATTCTCATAGTATCACCAGAAGTTTGTTATTTCTAGGTTTTTCAATGGTATTTAGTGATTATGTGTATTTAAAATACATAACAGTGGTGAATATTATACAGATCAGAGTTCATTATATTGTATTACAGTTTTTATCCTCATTCTGGAAACTATTTCTCTGGGCCAGATTCATTTTTCCCCTTGATCTCTTAAGTCCCTGTGATTCAGGAAAATTGAATTAATGGAATGTATGGTCAATACTACTGACTAGGATGCTTTCAATAACATAGTTTAAAATGGTAAAGTCCACACTTGATAGGCTAGAATGAGAAACAAAACTTTTCTCCTAATTAAAGATTTCATTGTTAAGAAATAGTTTCTGGTTCACTTAGGTAGGTCCTGCTTGCGTGACCGCCGCGTATCCGCTGGTGGCTTGGAAGACCGGCGTTGGTTGAAAATCACCCCGGCTTTGGCCGTGGCCGCGGGTGAGATTCGGACGCCCAGAGCCTCCGGGGCCTCAGCTCACCGCGCGCTGCTCCATGTGGCGGTGAAACCCAGGCCCCGACAGCGCCGCGTCCTCACCCACCAGGAACACTGGTCCTCCCACGCCTGAGACTGACGTCGCCAGGACCACGGGGTCGGGGGGACTCGGCTGTCTCCCGTCTTTCAAATAAAGCTGTTTGCCTAAAAAAAAAAAAAAAAAAAAAAAAAAAAAAAAAAGAAATAGTTTCTGACGGCCGAGCACACTGGCTCACACCCGTAGTTCCAGCCTTTTGGGAGACCAAGGCAGGAGGATTGCTTGAGGACAGGAATTCAAGACTAGCTTGGGCAACATTGCAAGACCCCATCTCTACAAAAATTTAAAGCACAAAACTTAGCCAGGTATGATGGTAAGTGCCTATAGTCCTAGCTACGCAGGAGGCAGAGGAGGGAGGATTACTTGAGCCCAGGAGTTCAAGGCTTGGGGCTAAGATCGTGTCACTGTACTCCAGTCTGAGCAACAGAGTGAGACCCTGTTTCTTTAAAAAAAAAAAAAAAAAAAAAAGTCAATAAATGAAAGCTGCTTCTGTATTCAAAGTTAGGGATTGTTGGTTCATATCTTCTTTTCCACACTCCACTAAAAAAATTTTAAGCTGATGAAAATACTTTTAGGGAAACATAGATAGAATAGTTTTTTTCTGATATAAATGATTACCATTAAGTTGTCTGTCTTAAAGAGTTCAGCCAAAAAGCACATCTATCTTCATTTAACCATTTGTTGCTGCTGCTGCTTATTACAGTAGTGTTAGCACTGGAAAACTTGTCATTCTTGACTTCTTCCATCTTGCCCTCAAGCAGTGCCCAGAAGCGAAACCCTAATTTGGGGATAGTAAGCTATACTTACAGTGCCAAGATCCTGTCACCATTTGCTGTCACAGGAAAGGGGCCCTTATTGTTATTTCTCTTAAAAAAAATTTTTTTTTTGGTAAACTTGGACTCTTAGTCTTATTTAAAATAGTGATATTCATATAGTAATCTTGCAGTACTGACATTTGGTTTTTCCACTATCAGTGCCTAAGACAATCTTTGACAGTTATTAAAACAATAAGGTTTTCTTTGACTTTGTGTGTTTAAGAGCCTCTGATTTAGGGCCCTTCTTTTGTAGTGGTATTTATATTAAATCAAAAATTTGTAAAAATCAGCCCATTTTTATGAATAAAAAATAGCAGATACAAGTTTGCAATGTAAGAAATGGCCATTACAATCTATTTTAGAAATTAAATTTAAAAGTTACTTCTTTAACATATGTTAAAGTAAGCAAGAAATAAGCCTCTTGTAAAGCTACTGAAATTTTGCATTACAACTGCAAAATCAAGTTTAACCTCACTGTCACAGTGCTTTTGTCAGTAGAGTTAAATCATAATTCGCTTTATTTACAGATGTATTTTTAATGGGCCGATAGTTTCTTAGTTATCTTGTCACGTGACTTTCTACAAGTTTATATTAATTGAATTAGAACCATGTAGGGTGTGTGTGTGTGTGTGTGTGTGTGTTTTGTTTTTTGTTTGAGGCGGAGTCTTGCTCTTGTCACCCAGGCTGGAGTGCAGTGGTGCGATCTTGGCTCACTGCAACCTCTGTCTCCCAGAGAACCATGCGTATTTGTAAATCAACAATTGTGGTTTCTCTGATGCATACTGAATAAATTATTCACCTTTCAGGTTTAACTCGTATAGATCTGACTCACTTTCTAAATTGTTACTGGAAACAGTAATTGTAAATTAGCTGAGTAAATGTGCCTTTGCTAATATGAACACTCATAGAATTTCAGAGCACTTCACAGTGTCAAAGCATCACTTCAATGATTCTTAACTACAATTCTAGGAGATAAGCAAGGCAAGTTTAATTATTGCTGCGTTCATTTTACAGGGGGGGAAATTGAAGCAAAGTCATTTGCCCCAGGCCATATGGCTTGTAAACAGCAGAACTAGGGTCATCTTCTGGCTAATCTTTAAACTGTTTGTTTTTGTTTTTCATATCATCTCATTAGAATCAATTGTATGTCCAGGCAGTGGGCAGTGAGGGAGTGGGGAGAGGTGGAAGGATTTGTTTCTCACTCTTTTTTTTAAATTTCTAAACATTTCCACCAGAGATATAAAATTATCCAAAACAAATAAATCCATTACATTTTGCCCTCCATGTTGCTGGTTGCTAGGGCACTCATGCCTAATTTAAAATATATACATCTTTTGAATGTAGCATTTTAAGTTTTCAAATTTATGCAAGATATGGAGAGGAAGGGAGACTGTTGGTATGTTTTAAAACAAGGGTAACTCCATATGGAACCCTGTCTTCTCAAACAATGAATTTTCCAGGATTAATTATAACCAAAGCAAGACTTAGTCATGGACTAAAAGTAGCTGCAGTATCATAGAATTCTAAAGTGTTATTCATAGAAGTTTTGTGTATAGGATGAACACTTTATAGGTTTCTAACTAGAACTGCAGTGTTGTTCCAGAAACTATGCAAGGGTATTAAAATACTTATTTTACAGTTGTTCCTAGCATTTCTATAATTAATGATTTAGTATATCTGGTGATTTGGACTAGGAATGTGAGCAAATCAGAATATATTAACTACTGAAGGAGGTAGAATGTTTCCAGTTTTGCAATGTTAAGAAAATAGACAATTAATTGATTCTTACCCTGAAGAAAATGACAAAGGGTCAGCCAGGTGCCCTTCCTTATCAGGGACCGTAAGTTTCTTCGGTCCTTTTGTATGGAAGCGATTTGTAGATGAAAGAAAGATTTACTGTGACATAGATTGTCTTGGAAATCTTAAGAATAAATTTTACATTACTAATTGCATTGTGTGAGAAATCTATTTCCATGTAGATTACGAAAAGCCCGTTCTGCAAATCCAAGGTAAACAGACTTATTCTCTTTGTTCTCCTATAACTGAGTTAATAATTGTGATTGTTGATTGATGATGTGAGAATGGGATGTAGGACTTGGCAGTACTTTTCATGATAGATATCTTTTGTTAGCACCCCCAGATTCACTCTTGTCTGTTCTTTATCCTGCTGTATACCCTGGAATATTCAGTTTTATATGCTGTATCAAAGACTCCTGTGCCTTTTGATTTCCAGATTGGGTTAGAGGTGGGCGAGGGGCAACCTCAGCAGGAAGTCAGAGAGGGAGGGAAATGAGACAAAGGTATTTGGTTTCACACCAGGTTACC